AAGTTCTGGGGGTACACGTGCCCAGGGTGGGGGGGATGCTCTCAGTCCTCGACACACGCAGTCGCTCACACACTGCTCAGGTTTATTGGGATCGTGGTGCTGGGGGGGCTCAGGGTGGGCCGGGTCCTGGTGCTGGGGCTCCATCGGGTACAGGGCAGGCAGCGCAGAGCCATCGTGGGGCAACAGAGTCCTGGAGAGGGGAGAGAAGCACAGGAAGGGTGAGCACCCCCAGGGGTACCACGACCAGGGACCCCTCTACACCCCTCCTTCCCTAAGCAGCACCACTTGGAGCCCCCGCACCACCACCCACCCCCCCACACACAGAGCTGGGTCCCACACACCCCCCCAGAGCATCACAGCTGCACCATTACACCCTTCCCCCTTCCAGCACCACCAGATCCGGATCCCTCCCTCCCCACCCTCTCAACTTCTTGAACACAGCAGCCGGAACCCCACACCCCCACCGCCACCCAGGACCACCGTGACCGGATTCCCCCCCCCAACTCACCAGCATCCCAAGAGTCCCACCGTGGGGAAGGGGCCGTGCCTTACTCCAACAGCTCCCGGATGCACCAACTGCACAGCAGGAGGTAAACGCACTCCCGCAGCACCCGCAGCACCCAGCGGCCGAGCCGCAGCCCCAGGGACGCGTCGCTGGGTGCCGGCAGTGCCACAGCCTGCGCCATCCGCTTGACGGTGCCCGGTGGCCGGGCTGTCGCGGTGCGTAGGAGACGCATGGCGACGGGATCTGAGCGGGGAGGGATCGGTACGGCCACGCGGAGCCCCGGGCAAGCGCTGGAAATTGCTCCATTCTCTGCGCTTCTAAAAGCCGCCACAATGAAGCGCACGTGGGGAGGGAGGGGGGGGGAGAGGCACCGCCGCCTGGGGTCACTTTTGTTCGGGCACGGCCGCTCTCATTCCTCCTGCCAGAGCCCCGCAGAGCACGAAGGGAGCGGCGCAGCCAAGCTCAGGCGAGATGCTGAGCACAGCAGGTTTATTTAGCGCTGTCCCCAGCAGCAGGGATGACACCTGTGGATGCCATCGGTGTCAGCGCGGCTCCCCAGGCTCTCACCGGCGGGACGTGCGCTCATCCTCCTCGTTTTCCAGCTCGTAGGCGGGTCTGTAGCTCTCTCGGCCCCTGGTGTCGGTGTAGAGTAGTGCTGGGTTCTTCATTGTGTTGGCCATGCTCCCCAGGGAGGTGTAGCTGTGAGGGGACAGCGTGGCTGTGGGAGGGGTGGAGGGCATCGCCCGATGCTCTGCATCTCCTCTGGCTGCTCCCCACACTCACCCCTTGTCGTAGAGGATGCAGTAGGGGACAAAGAGCTTGCGCAGGAACTCCCAGATGTCCCTGTATGTCCAGTCCTGTGGGCAGAATCAGGCAGGGATTGCAGCAGAGGTGGATGCAGAGGCTGCCCCTCGTCTCAGGGAAGGCAGTTGGCTCCAGCTCAGCACGCATGGAGCCCAGCCAGCATCCATTGCCCTCTGCCCATGGCCCCAGAGCACATCCATCCCTCTCTGAACATGGCAAAAGCCATGGGTGGGCAGGAATGAGCCCCAACCACCTGCACCAGCTGCTGCTGGGGGGTCACAGCTGGGCAACAGGGCCCTGGAGAGAGGAGAACTGGGGAGAAAAGCCCCTGAAGATGAGGATTGACTCCAAACTCACTCCCAAACAAGCAGGAACAGCCCTGTCCCCATCCCAGATGGAAACAGCATACCAGCAGTGGGTTCACTCGCATGTACTGGGGCCAGTTGGGGTCTGTCATGCACATGGGGGTCAGGGTGCAGGAGTAGGGATCGGTGCGCCGCGTGCCCATCAGGACGGCCTCCAGCTGTGGCTGCTGCTCCTTCAGGGTGAGCAGGGCATCCCGGATGGAGCCCTCCACCGTGCACAGCTGGATCTTGTACCTGGAGGGCAGAACAGGCAGCTGGCATTGGGGTGGGCAGTGTCACTCGTGCCCAGCTGGCAGCCTGGCCCCCCTCACTGGCCTGTACCTCTGCACGGTCGCCTGGATGAACTGCTCCATTTCAGGGAAGGGGGACACGATGCGGATGTAGAGCACCTTCAGCTTCTCCTGCCTCTCCGGGTACCGCCTGGGGAGAGACCCATCACAGACAGCCATCAGAGACACGAGGCCAGGCAGCCAGAGAGCCCTGAGCGGGCCCTGAGGAAACCCACTGCCCCACAGTACCTCTCCACGGCAGCATGGACGAGGTGCAGCAGGGCTGTGCAGTCCTTGCCCCCGTTGAAACCCACACAGAGCTGGGTTAGGCTGTACCGATCCAAAGCCTCCTCAATAGTCCTCAGTGCTGCTGCCACCTTCTGTCCCAGAGCCAAGCCTGCTGGGAGGGGACAGTCGATGCCTGCTGGCACTGGTGCCTGCCCAAGGCCACGCTGCCATGGCTCAGCCCCAAGGCCCAGCTCCTTCCTGGAGTGCCTCACCCTGCAGGCTCATCTCGTCTCCAGACACAGCCCAGAGCTACTGCTGGCACTGCATCCTGAAGCCAAGAGCTTGTGTCCCTAAGGCACAACCATCCCCCTACCCAGCAAGGGGATGAGATTCAACCCCAAAGAGAACTCAATGCAAACTCCACACCCAGGCCGCTCTTGCCGCTGCCTCGGCCCCTCTGTGTCTGTCTGGGCTGCAGAGGAGCAGCATGAGGACCCCAGCTACAGCTGGAAGTCTGCAGCTGCTGTACCTGACTCAGCCAGGGCATAAACCTCAGTGGAAGCCCTTGAGACGCAGTCAGTCACCAACGGCACCACCACACCAGGCGGCAGCTTCTCCATCAGGAAGCGATGTGCCTCCTCCAGGTGCTGCTCCGACTCCGAGTCCAGCGTCAGCTTCACACGGTAATAATTGTTGGACCAGTCCGGGTAGGAACCCAAACTCACACGGCTCTGAAAGCTGGCGTTGGCCTGATCCAGCACGGGAGCAATCTGCACCTCATCAGCTGCCACGTAGATGGCACGGGAGTGGAAGCAGGTCTGCTCACTGCGGAAAAGATGGCTGAGGCCATCCAGGGCACGTTCCATCAGTGCTGGGATGCCTGGGAAGATGTAGACGTTGCGGACACTGACCAGAGGATACTTGAAGGCACTGCCTGTGAGTTGGTCCGTGCCATAGTTGAGGCGTGAGGATTCAGGGATGCGAGCCAGCTTCATCTCAGGGCACTGCATGTCCGTCTTGCCAAAGAACTTATGCACCAGGGCCACCAGCTCCGGGTGTGGGGTCACCCTCTCCCCAAAAGCTTTGGCCACGGCCTCGAAGGTGACGTCGTCGTGTGTGGGGCCGATGCCCCCCGAGGTCAGCACGAAGGTGAAGCGGGAGGCGAAGGCGGCCACTTCAGCAGCAATGGTGTCCACCTCGTCGGGCACCACGGAGACGCGGGCCACACGCACACCCAGGGCACGCAGCCGCCGGCACATGAAGAAGGAGTTCGTGTCCTGAGTGTGGCCCTAAGGGGAAGGGCAGTGGTGGTGAGCCCAGGCCTGAGCTGAGGCATGAGCCCGGGCCCAAACTCCAGGCCAGAGCCCAGGCCTGAAGACCAGGCCCCAACTCCAGGACAGAGCCCAGGCCTGAAGACCGGGCCTGAACTCCAGGACAGAGTCCCAGATCCAAGCCCAGGCCAGACTGCAGGCCAGACCCCAGGCCCAACCTCCAGGCCTGAAGCCCAGCTCTGACCCCCGGGCCAGAGCCCAGGCCCGATCCTAGGCCTGAGACCAGGCCTGAACTCCAGGACAGAGCCCCAGATCCAAGCCCAGGCCAGACCCCAGGCCTGAAGCCCAGCCCTGACCCCCAGGCCAGACCCCAGGCCTGAAGCCCAGCCCTGACCCCCCAGGCCAGATCCCAGGCCAGACCCCCAGGCCAGAGCCCAGGCCGAACACTAGGCCTGAGACCAGGCCTGAACTCCAGGACAAACTCCAGGACAGACCCCAGGCCTGAAGCCCAGCCCTGACCCCGAGCCCCGACCCCCAAGCCAGACTGCAGGCCTGACCCCAGGCCCGGCCCTCAGCCGCAGGCCCCGCTCTCACCTTGAGGATCTCATCCCCGATAACGATGATCCCGGCGGTGGAGGCGGAGCTGTGCCCGGCCATGGCTCTACAGGCCGCGTTCCGCCGCCCGGTACCGAGCAGAGTCCCCAGAACCCGCAGCGCCGTTCGCATGGACCCCGCCGAACCGAACCGGCTCCGCCACGCCGCCGCCTCCCCGCGCTCCTATTGGTCGGGAGGAACGCGCGTCACGAGGCTATGCGAGCTCTGATTGGTTGAGAGCGAACAGGGCCACTGCGGGGGGCGGTCCTACCGCTCCCTCCCCCCCCTTAGCGCCATGGACTCTCCCGATGCACGTGCGCTTCCCCTCCCCCCTCCCGCGTTCCCCGCCCCGTTACCCCGGAGTCTTCCCGCCCTATGAACCCTCCCAACAGCCTCTCTCCGGTCACAGTGACCCCAGAACCACCCGGGGAAGGGCTGTTCCTGGGCACTGGGAGCTCCTCCTGCCTCCCAACCCCCCCCAGAAGGCAGAACAGCAGCACACAGCAGCTCCCAAATATCCTTTTATTGAAGCTTTTGAGAACCCCCACCCCCACAGCGCGGTGCCTGGGGCTGAGCCGCTGCAGGTGTTCAGATGGCACTGAGTTCATGAGCATCTTGGGCACCCAGTGGCTCTGCCCCAACCGGGAAAGATCCCAGGAACAGAGGGTGCAAGAGAAGAGAAGGATGATGATGATGATGATGAAGGTGCTTTGTAGCCCAGGCAGCCGAGGGCTGCGTCCAGCCCAGGGAACACTCACTTCTCTGGCTTCTTGGGCAGCGGCCGTCGGAAGAGGAGGATGTGTGGCTCTGTGGGGACGTAGCACAGCGTCAGGCCGGGCTGTGGGATGGGAGCTCGCATCCCATAGGGCAGCCATACGGGGCTCACCTGGCTCGTGGATCATGTAGTGCACCCAGCCCTGACTCTGCTGCACACCCAGGTTCCGCCACTCCGACTCGGACATCAGGTGGGTTTTGGGCACCAGCTTGGCGATGTCTTTGGGCAGCATCACATGCCTGTGGCCGGGGGGGCTGCTCAGCTGGTGGCACTGTCCCGGTGCAACCCCCTCCCCCCCAAACCCTCAGGCCCAGACCTAGTGCTTCCACCAACCCCCCCTTAGGCCCTGACCCGGTGCTCCCCCCCCAGGCCC